CAGATGTTAGCTCAGGGCTAATCTTCCTCAAGCAAAAAAAGAGGAAGTTTGTCAACAGATGTTAGCTAAGGGCTGGTCTTCCTCAGGGGGGAAAAAAAGGCGATATAAAAACTTAATTTAGTTATATTATTTGGAAAACATTTTCACTTTTTTTCCAGCTTTATTGGGATATAATTGACACACAACATTGTGTAAGTTTAAGGTGTACAACATGTTGATTTGATACCTTTCTAAATTGCAAAATGATTACCACCACAGGCATTAGCTACCACTTCCATCCCATCACATAGTCATCGTTTCTTTTTTGTGGTGAGAACATTCAAGACCTGTTCTCTTAGCTACATTCAAGTGTATGATACAGTATCATTAGCTGTAATCACCCTGCTGTACAGTAGATCCCCAGGCTTTTTAATCTTATAACTGGAGGTTTGTACCCTTTGACCAATATCTCCCTATTTCCTCCACTCCCTCCCCCAACCCCTAGTAACCACCACTCTATTTCTGAGGTTTTTTTAGCTTCCACATATGAAAACATTTTACCTTTTAAAAGTGATTGGCGATCTGCAGCTGAAATGAGTTAGGGGAAATGTGTGGCTGTAGTAAATGGGAGAGACCAGGAGCTTTTCCAGCCACTTCTTGGCCTTGCCAAAGGACTCCAGAGAATCAACAGCCTGCAAAATTTTCACTGCTCATTCCCCTGATTGCCAGAGGCTCACGGTCTGGGAGCTGATGGCAATGAACATCAGTAGGAGGAGGAGAGTACTTGTGTTTTTACTCTCATTTTTAATTGATCTTAAAATTCTTTCCTGGCCCTTTGCCTTCTGCACAGTCCAGAGTCATGAATCCTTGATACGTGGCTCAAAAGAGAAGCACAGGACAGTGTATTCCCTTTCTTGCCACCAATTTCCTGCCTGTGTTTCTATTCTGGGACCAATGTGCAGACCATTCCAGTTCAGAGATGGAATAAGCTCTGCTCTGCTTCTTGCCCCTGTGTACAGCCTGGCTCCACTGTGAGCACCGTGTGGGGGGGGCCACAGGTGATGGGTAGCTTTTGGTGCCTCCTGCTGGGTGAGGGTAGGGTTAGGGTTCTTTTGCAACTAATTGTATCCATCTATTTTCAAAAGGTGGAAAAAATTCCTGAACTTAGGTGTCAATTTATATATTAATTATGCTGATCTCAGTTGCAGCAGCGTGGTCTTAATAGCTTACTGCTGCAATACCCAAATCTGTGATATCAGAATGTGACGTGCATATTTTAATTTGAGAAATAGTTTAACATTTTTAGATATTCATTTAGATGTGGTTACGCAGGTTAAACATAACGTATGATCACTGCTTCTTTCATTGCTTCCAATTAAACCTTGCTTGTTAGTTTAACCTCTAGGTAATCCCGTCAAACAATTGATGTCAAGGAAACACTGCCCACAGTAGCTTCGGATGAGTGGCCATTAATTTTAATTGCCTTGATATTAAAGATTAAGAAGTATTGGGACTAGCAGAATAGAAACGATCTGATGTCAAGCAAATCCACTTGCTAAAGCTTCCCCAGGCTGCTGGTGATATTAAAATTTTACTGTGAGAATTAAATAAACCTTTATTAGTGATGACTGTTGTTTGATTGGTCCGGGGGTATGCATAAACACAGGATTCTTACATATCTAGAGATGAGACCTTCGATAGTACAGAGATTCCTCAATTATGAAACTGTTAATAAAGCTGTAATCTGATTTTCCAGGCAAAGTTTCATTAATGTATTATAGCTTCTCTGATTGTCAAGGTAATATTAACTACAAAGTACAGAATCCAACAGAGAATTGTTTAGAAGAAGAGAATTCTAAGATGGGCCTTTGTTGCTAAATTCAGCGTTGGAGAAATTTCATTAATTATGCTTAAGAAATGCCAAATTCCCCCTCACCCAGGAATATCTCCCTTTGCACTATAGATACATTCAATATTTAACTCTTTCGAAGGCCTGCCAGCCATATTCAGACAGGCTTGAGTGATGTTATGTATTGAAGGAGACTGTGAAGCAGCTCTCTAGCTCTGCCTCCTGAGCTGACGACGTGCTTTTGAAAAGTGAGCTAAGGTTTAAGAGAATTTGCTTTAAAAAGTAGCATAAGAGTGGATTCCTTTAGGGTCCTTTTTCAATCTTGATTGAAACTTTTGTTTTCAGAGTCATGTAATTCTGGTATGGGAATAGATCCTAATAGTCACGGAGGCTGACTTCTCCTGGTACAGAAATCCCCGCCAGTGCATCTGTTTCCATCCTCTTGGAGGCCTGGGCACCACATCAGCATCATCTCTGGCTTCTCCCTCTCCCCTGACCTCCACAGCGAGTCAGTGATCAAATTCTGCCTATCCTTCCTCCACAGTATCTACTCTCTCCACTCCAGGGCTCTACGTGGCTCAGGCCCTCATTGCCTTCTCACCTGTGTCCTCTCCTAACTCTTCTGTCCACTGCCACGTCCTACACAATTATCATGTGCACCTGCCCCAAGCATATGGGGCTCAAAGAAGGGAAGGCAGAGAAGACCAGCAGCAGGGTCCCTCAGGTCCCTCAGGGCTATTTGGGAGCCTAATGTTGTGACAGTATAGATGTTGGAACTAGGACCAGTGAGTGGAAGTGAAAGGGAACCAGATATTCATTCCACATAGAGAACTGTATATCTATTAAAACTATCCAACAGTGGAATCAGGGACTTTGCAAGGTGCCACATCTCTGGAGGTAGAGATGCCATGAATACAAAGAGACAATAGAAAAGGAGGTGCACGTTTAGAGGACATGCGAGTTCCATTTTTGACCTCTTAAGTTGGAGGTTATGGCAGAACATTTGTATGGAAATGTCTTAAAAATTGAGAACTGAAATTCCTCATGGAAGTTAGGGATAGAGATGGAAATCCAGAAGTCATCCACACAGAGATAATAATTGAAATCATTAATATGGATAAGATTGCTTAGAGAAAGAGAGAAGAGGGCCAAGAGCTGAGTCTTGGAGAAAGTACACTGATGTGTGCACACACACATACACACACTGGTGTGTCAGGGAAGGAGGAGAAGCAGGAGCATAATGTCACAGAAACCATGCAAAGAGCGAGCTTTAAGAAGGAGGGGTGGGGGACTGGCTCTGTGGCCGAGTGGTTAAGTTCATGCGCTCCGCTTCAGTGGCCCAGGGTTTCGCTGGTTCAGATCCTGGGCGCGGACATGGCACCACTCATCAGGCCATGCTGAGGCGGCGTCCCAGATAGCAGAGTCAGAAAGACCTACAACTAGAATATGCAACTATGTGCTGGGGGCTTTGGGGAGAAGAAGGGAAGAAGGGGGTAAAAATGGCAACAGATGTTACCTCAGATGCCAATCTTTAAAAAAAAGAAGGAGGGGTGGTAATTATAAGTATCAAACACTGCTGAGAGGTCAAACAATTTGAGGAGAGAGAAAAGGCATTGGATTTGGGACAGGTGTGATGCCTGTGTAACCACCTCAATCAACCACCTCTAGCCCTTGAGATAAAGATTAAATGAGAAAATGTGTGCAAAAGGCTCTGCTTAATGCTCGACACATAGGGGATAGTTAATGATGGTTATAACCACTACTGTTTGATATGAAGGAAGGAAGGGATGCGTCCTTCAGAGAGGAAAAAATGATGGTGGAACAGAAACATCTAGGAAATCCTCATCTGTAGTGTATTTACTTCCTGATGAGTTTTGGCTTGTTTCTGTCTGAGGAAGCTATGCTCGTGGTTGCTGCATGGGTCCTCACTGAGTGTGCCTGCATATGTATGTGTGCACAGAGCGCTTCCCCAGGATGGGACAGCATGCAGGCAGCAGCAAGGCCAACATTGTCTTCCTCACATGACTCCCTTGCCAGGGCTCTTTGGCTTCTTCTGGAAGGATGACTGCCCCGTAGGTTGAAGAATGAGACTTCTATTTCCAAAGCAATTAAACACTTGGCAGAGACGGTCACAAGCATGCCCATTGGTGTAAACTGGGTTGGAGGGCTCATACTGCTCCTTATTTTTCCGCAGGCCCCTGAATAGCTGTTTGGGATGAAGCAGTGTTCCACCAGCCTGATAACACAGCAACATGCCACTTTGACAGATTAAGAAATTATTGGAAAGTATTTTTAAATTGTTACTTTAACAAAGAGAGGTCAGAGCCTTTTATATAGCAAGTGGGTACCTTCTTATAAATTGCTGTGTGGGCTTTAGCTGCTTCTTTATATAGCTGAGCTACAGATGCCTGAACGCATAATGTAACTATGAGCAATGAGTCCTGGGCTGAAGTTTTGCTGTCAATGAAATCTGCCTGTTGCCAAGATCCTCTTCAGAAATCTCTTCCATTTGTGCTGGCTGACATCATAAGTAGTTTGCAAAAGAAAGAAGTGCACTCCACCTGATGAAATCGGAGCCGCTCCTCTATATTTGCATTTGACCTCATTGGAATTACTTGAATTTTCAAGTTGTGACCTTCTCACGTGTTAATTGGCAGAGCTTGAGCACCCATCTTGGCAGTCAGACAGTATCTTCTAAGGTAGAAGACAAAGGGGTTTTTCATCCATTATTAATTGATGTTACTCTTTTCAGCAGGCCAGACATGATTCTACTGTACAGCTGCCAAAATTGTTCTAGACCCAAAAAGGAATAAGCCATTGCTTCTCAAGTGTTTCTTTTTATTTACCTAACTTAACAACTATTCGTTTAGTTCTTCAGCTACTTTTGGGGCGACTGATCATTTATATACCAATTGAATATTTTTTAATGAACAGTGCTCCCAGCCGTTTTAGTATTACTGTAGCTAAGCAGTATTGTTCCAAGAGTTTTGAGAGTTTTGCCAAAAGAGAAAGTGAACCCCTAAACCCATTATACGTTATGCACAGGAGGTGATTGCAGGCTTGGAATTGTGTCTCCCAAGGTCTCTCCTTGTGTCCAATTATTATTGGAAGTTTGGCTTTTTTTCCCCCTTTGACCTCTCTTCCCCTTCACTCATGTCCCTGCGATTTTTAGGTATCCAACTGGTTTGGCAACAAACGAATCAGGTACAAGAAAAATATCGGCAAGTTTCAGGAAGAAGCCAACCTCTACGCTGCAAAGACAGCTGTGACAGCCGCACACGCAGTCGCCGCAGCTGTGCAGAACAACCAGACCAATTCGCCCACCACGCCAAATTCCGGTGCGTACTGGGTGCTCACTGCCTACTCGGCCCAGGCAGCCTTATGCCACAAAGCCCTGTCCCACAGCCAGGAAGCAAGAGCCATACTGAGGACACAGTGGACTTGTATTAAAATACAGGCCTGTTCTCAGAATGGGTGAATGAGTGGGTGGCCAGACTTCATAAACCCACTGTTCATAGTGAGTGCTACTCGCTTCTGGTAGATTCTGGAACTTTCACACCTCATAGTGGTTTTTAATTCAGCACTTAGGCAAAGTGCTATCACTAATAATTATTCTAACTATATTGTTCCATGTATCATTTTAAGGTCAATAGTGATCTGTCAAAGAATGAAATAGCTCAAGTGGGATATTTACCTGTTGCTGTGTGTAATGAAGCTAGAATGTTGGAGTTAAGTACCAGCCATGCTGTCTGCCTAATGTAGCCACAGACTGCAGTCTGCTGTCCTTCTTCGCATTTCTTTAGCACCGGTGTTGGCTTGGTAGCATTAGGAGGTGGTTAGCTGTGAGGGGTATGGTACCTGATACATGGATGCAATATCTTGGCTCGTCATACAACACATTTTGGCCAAATTTTATGTGACATCTGTGATGGAGTTAGAAGCATTTTAAAATTACAAGGAACTTGAGTGACAATGAAACATGTGCAACTAGTCCAAACAGATGGACTAGAGCAACAATTTGAGGGGCTTCTCTAAGGAAGTCTTTTAAATATATCTTTAAAAGTTCAGAAAGTGAGGGGCTTTTTGTTTATTTGAGTTTTTGCCCCCCACCCCTAGTTGTTTTTAATGGAACATGAAAACAGATGAAAGGAAAGTTAGGTAGAGTGTATGGCTAAGAGAGCTTCAGAAAAATGTTTCTTCTCTGTTTAGTTGTCCACTCTGACAGTTAATGATAGCAAAGAGTTCATTTAATGACCAAATCCTGGAGAGAAATGAAAACAAGGGGATGGTTCCAGGCCGGTTTTCCTGTTTATTTTGATATTCTCTGTTTCTTATTTGGGCTTCCCCATTGATAGGATTTTCCTAGATGCAAAATGAACCACAAGACCTAGCTGTCTGGAGTTACCTCCGTCCTCTTAGATCTGGAAATGCTTTATGTTGTGCACAGCCTTTCCCTTCTGTACCTTTTCTCCTTTCCCTGCTTCTTGGTCTTTGAGGATTATGTGTTTAGCTCTCTGTTATTCAGCTACTTAACTCTTTCCTTTCCAGGTTCTTCTGGTTCTTTTAACCTCCCAAATTCTGGGGACATGTTCATGAACATGCAGAGTCTGAATGGGGATTCTTACCAAGGGTCCCAAGTCGGAGCCAATGTGCAATCACAGGTAGGAGAAATGCCCCAACTGGGGCCTTTCTAGCAGGGTAGGGTTTGGGCTCAAAACTCCTTCCTCTGACCCCATGGAAGTGGTCTGCACATCCATGCAGAACCTGTGCTGGGTGCTTCCAAACGTAACCCATCTGCCCCACCATTTAGTTTAAGAAGTCAGGTGAACAGTGACTTTTGATGATTCAAACCTGATGAACTTTGTGAATGCATTCGGCTCTGGCTTGAGCTCATGGAGAGGGGTTGGGTGCCTCTTACTATCATAACAAAATAGAACAGAAAAATTTTGTGTGTCAGTGTGTGTATGGTTTAAAAACATATTACTCTGTTTCCTTTCTGTATTTTTTTAAGCCAGTGTACAAAAACCTGAGTTCTTAAAGTATGTTCCAGGTTCAACTCTTTTCTCATCCTCTTAATTGAGAACAACTACTTGTTTTTAGGCATATAGATGTGTGTGTGTGTGTGTGTGTATAAGAGAGAGAGAGATTGAGATCCAGTATACATACTTATAAGTAGTTTTCACCCCCAGCCACACACATTTGGTTGGTGTAGATGGACAGTTTGCATTACCATGAAGATGTTATTGTTTGGCTGGCATGAAAAACAAAGATGTGTGAGTTTAAATATGCAAAAAATTGTTGAAATTCTGCCGGTCATATTTGATTGATAAATTTGTTTTTCATTGAAGATGCTAAACCCTCGTGGCACACATAATTCAAATTGTTTCCTTTTGTAAGTGATGATGTTTTAATAGATTTGGGATGATGAATTTTGTTTCATCTCACTTCTAGGTGGATACCCTCCGTCATGTTATCAATCAGACGGGAGGCTACAGTGATGGCCTTGGAGGAAATTCACTGTACAGTCCACATAATTTAAATGTGAGTACTCTGGGGAACCAGATCGAAGAGCTGTAGGAACAGCGTCAGGTAAACAATGACTAATAAATAAATTAATGGCCATTTGACTTGGCTTCTCATCTTATTGTCAGGTGGGGAAGGCGGCATCTTTACCGCTCTTTTATTTTATGAACCTAAATTTGACATTACCTAGATGACCTTAGAAGTCCTCACAGATGCCTGCCCAGAGTGACTGGCGTTCTGTCATCAGTAGGGGCTTAAGCGTCAGCCTGTTAAGACGCCATCTCCTACTGGCTGTGCTGTGTTCCAGGGAAATAGTGAAAAACAGGTCATTTATCTTAGACTCAAGCAGCAGGAAAAATTCCCAAACACAGCTCAGGTGAAGGTGACAGCCTGGGAGGGCCCCGGACAGATCAACAAACCAAGCAAAACAAAGAATTCTGTCCTTAAGAGCAGCTTGCTGTGTTGTCAGTGTGGGTGCGAGATATGTTCGGCATTTTTATGCCCTCTCCATTTTTAATTATGGAGAAAATGACTTTAACTTTTGTAACCAATTCACCAAAACTTTACTTTTCCCCCCACCCTGACATGGATGGAAAATGGCAAAACACACAGTTCCTGAAAGGATTGGGGGAGAATTGGGTCACCAGGGTGGAGCTGGGAAGAGTGGTGGACAGAATCTGGGGTCCAGACTTCAGGAGGAAATGAGCCGCCTGACGCATGGCAGTTGGGTCTGGAAGAAAATGGACAAAATTCTCCATTTTTAGGGCCTTGGCTTGCTATGAGAGTAAATATTAATGATTTAAAAAGTGATTGAGGATGTTCAATTGTGAAGGGAAAAAAGGACCATTAAATACTCAAATCTTTTACATTTGAAATGTCAAATCTTTCTTTTTGGGTTTATAAATAACTCATAATAACCCACAACAAACCATATAAAAAGGCTTTTAGTTGCATTTCTCCTTTTTCATTTAAGTGTTTTGAAATGCTTCAGAGAATGTGCGCTATCCTTATCAACATGATAAAATATGAAACTGTGATTGCCTGCAGCACTTTACAGACATGAATTCCATCTTCACTGATGAGGCTTGATAAGGCGCTGTTGTATAATACAGTGCATAATCTCAAACCACCAGAGGAAGGATTAATTTATTTTGAAAAAAAGAATGCTTGCTGACAACCTCTCTTCCAGCTGCCACGCTGGGTAAAAATATTATACATTTGTTGTTTATAAATTTGGATAAAAGAGGAATGATGTTTACTTCAGATGGAATATCTTTAGACTTGTTATCTGCATAAGAGTTTTCTTTTGCTAAGTAGATTTTCCTACCTGAGGGGTGAAAACGGCTTTCCTTTTAGATAGAGAAGAGGATTTCTTAGAATCCACACAAACACACACGAGCATGTCACCATCCAAACCCACACAGCCGAGCCTTTGAAAATGGACCACCACAGCTTTCTCCCCCTCACCTGAGTTTGCTAGGCCTCAAGGCTGGAAAATCCTTTTCCCTTTGGCTCTGGTCTCTCTCTGGGGTTGTTTGGTTCCCCCCCCCCCCCCACCGTGATCCTGGTGGGCAGAAAGGCGCTCTCTGTGCAGAACCGTGCTGTCCGTCAGAGACAGGGAGTTCTCTAAGAACAGTGACCTGGGAGAAGGAAAAATGCCCAGTGCTCGGCTCGTCTGACAGCCATCTCCAGGCCGGGCGGGGGACCCACATAGCTCTCAGCAGCCTAGTGCCACAGGCCTGAAAGAAGACATTTTGGATGGACTCAAAGAAGTTGCAGATGATGGGAGTGAGGCAGGGGAACCTTATGACCCGTACTGACACTGGTGTGGGAGGTCAGGGTCTGGGGGCAGCACAGCACAAGGCCAGTCTGTGCCGCAGGCACTGGGTGTCAGCCAGCTCACCTCGCCTTCTCTCCAGAAAGGCCTGCCCCGTCACTTCCACTCAGTGTTCCCCAACTCAGAAGCCCAGCACCTCCCTCTTCCTGACTGACATAAAAATATGTAGCGACAAGCTGTCTGCCATAGCAGAAATCTGATCAGACATTGATTTCAGCAATTGCCTCTATAGGCCAGGACATAAGGCAAATTTGTTTCTGAGTACTGTTATTGCTGATGCAGGTCTGAGGCAGGAAGGGCCAGCAGCGTGCGGAACGCGGAGGCAGCATCCCCAGTAGGAGCTCCAGTTACAGATAATTGGAATACAGATTTGAATAGTGTGTGCTCCTCCACAGGTCATGCATTTTCATTCTGGGCGATCCTATTTGGAGGGAAATTCTGGCCTTCATTTTCCAAGGGTTATAGTGGCTGGCTGTCAGGCATGTATGGAAAAAGGGCAGGCAACTTCTCTGTGGAAACGAGGATTAAGCTAGGCTGAAGTCTGTACTCCATGGAGCCCAAGGTCTTGCAGAGGCATTACATTGAGCTCCTCCACTGCTCCCTACTTAAAAGATTTCTTTTTTGAGTCACTTTCTTTTTACCGGCAAATCCAAGGCCGAGCTTGGTGCCAGCTTGAGACTAGCTGAAGCCCTCCTTCAGCATGCTGATTTATTGCCAAGTCTTTACTTGGTGGGATGGATTTGTTTTACATGCATTTAATCCCGCTTTAACACATGCTTCAAACTCCTGCCAAAGTGGGCTTAGAAAATACATTTTGCTAATGCATCTTTGCTCTCATGTTGTCATCTGGGTGTTTTAAATTGGGGAGCAGAATTAAGATGCAGACGTGCACCCGTTGAACTCTGTTTCTCCTTTCAGGCTAATGGAGGCTGGCAGGACGCGACAACTCCATCTTCTGTGACTTCTCCTACAGAAGGCCCAGGAAGTGTGCACTCTGATACCTCTAACTAATCTCTGGCGACGCTTTTCCCCGAGCTGACATGCCTTGAGAAGTGCATTCAGAGCAATAGGAGGAAAGGAAAGCGTTTTCGTAGCCCACCATCTACAGCTTTACTGTAAAACCTTGTCTTCTTAGAGAACTTGGAAAATCTGTTTTTTAAGGAATCATAATCATTTGTATTTATATAAAAACACACAATGTTAAAAAAGCACTTTATCCAATTAGGCCAAGATTTAACATTGTTGACAGTCCTGTAGCTATTTTATCATAATTTATTATCAATATTTTACATTAATGGTTTCACAGTTGCCAATTACTTGGCCTTAAGGGTAAAAAAAGTACAATGTATGCTAAACCTCAATCGTTAAAGCAGATGCAAAGATTCACCTCACCTAAATTGAACTTCTCGCATATTTCCATCGCAGACTGATTGTCTGTCTTTCATATCGCTAATGGAGTTGGAGTAAAGGAGCTGTTTGGCGATCTCTGTTAATGATGGTTGTGTTTAAGAATCTTCCTCGTCACATTTGTGTTGCGATCTCTTATGTTATAATTAGATCAGAGACTGGTAGCATCTTTTCTCTCTCTGAAAGCACCAGTGCCCAGCGTCTGCTTGGTAATTAAATTACGGATCCAGATCGTTCCGAGAGATGAAGATACTCGCTGCTGATAGAGGTGAACAGGCGATCCGCCGGGTTTTACGGTGTGCGCTGGGTGCTGCACAGACTTGTCAAGGTTTGCTACGTCCTCTGGGCATCGACGAAAGGCCCTGCTCTCTGGAGTGTTGTATATAGTGTAGCAAAAGAGTATTTATACATCTCACCAATCAAAACACAGCTTTATTACCTCATGCGAACTCATCCAAACCAATAGACTTTCAACATGTTCTGTAGCTTAGAGTGCTCACCTACTACCTCTGAACAATACTCACGCTGTAGTTTGTCTCTTTCTTATCTTTTTGCATCTTGTAATTAACTCTTTGTTTCCCTTCATAAAATGTAATGTACATTGTAATCTTTTAAAAGAAAAATCAGGGTTGCATTTGCAACTTTTAAAAAAACCGAGAGTGGAAACATTGGGTCTTAAATTCACACAGGATCAGTAAAACTGTTGTAAATACTGAGAAACATTTTGAATGTTCTTCATCTTGTTACTAATCCATGCAAAAAAAAAAAAAAAAGCAGCGACTAATTGTGATGCATTCAGATTTCAGTATTCAGTACTGTATATTTCACCCTGTGTAATGGGGCCCCCTCTCTCCTTTCTCTTTTTGTATTGTATGCGATTCTGAAACTGATTGAGTCATGAAAATAATTTGTGGCGGTGATTCTAACGTATTAAAAACGTTTCGTGTTCCTTTCTAACTGGATTACACCCTGGATTGAAAAGGTCTTCCTCGTGGTAGTTATATGTAGTTTCAAACATGAATAAACTTTTTGCTTTCATGATTAAATGTTGATGTAATTTCTTGCTCCGCCACTTGAACCAGCCCGTGCAGGCAAAAGGAGAAAGCCCGCCCAGAAGCAGGCCCTGCAGGTAAACGTGTGGCCTGTCGGAGAGGGATTTTGGGATGATGAAGCTGCGGCTGAAGGAACAGCCTCTCCTGATTGCCCGCTCTTTCCACGCAGGCTCCTGCCGGCTGCTGGACCACACTTACATGTCTGCACTTGATTCTTACCCTCTAAGGACACCACAAGGAAAATATTATCCCCATTTTCATAGAGTAGGAAACTGATGCTCATAAAAATTAAGCAAATGCCACAAGGTCGTGGTCCTAGGACAGCAGGGGCCCACACCTTGAACCCAGGTCTCTGCCCTTGGAGCTCACACTCTCCTGACCTAATGGAAAGACCTTTTTTGTAAGTTTTAAAAAATAACCAGTCTTGCCACATTCACTTCTTCACTTTCATAACTTCTGTGTGACACCAGTTAAGAACAAGGAAAAGTTTGTCTGAAAAGAGGGAGCCTCAGATGCCATTTAAAAAGACCCCACAACTTCTCTTAGTATATCTTCTAAAACTCTGAACTTACAAAATGTAAGACCAACTGACCATTCTTTAACTAGATTAAACCTTGTTTTTGTTTTATTCAAAATGTTAGAAATTCCGCATATTTACATACGCATCTGTCGCTAATACCTAACTCTTTATAATAAAAGAAGTCAAGAGCACGTAATTGGCCTGTTTGCTATATCTCGAGGAAGTTGACTCACAGGAAATCAGATTAATGTTAATCAGTTGCAGCGAATTGTCTATGATAAATACAACTGGTTTACTATTCCAGTTGGTAGAGGCAGGCCAAGCAGGTCTAGGGCCACCGCCCCATTAATCTTGAGGTAGTTACACCGTGAGAGTGAGCTGTATGAAACAGATAGCCCTCCAAAGCTGTCTGGCCTCACTCGGGCTCAGCCTGCCTGGAGGAACCTCTCCCGTGGCTAAGGAGTTATTTGCATGATTCCATTAGCTTATGGGTCAGGCTTTCTTATCTTTGTACATAAAACAATTTCTCTGCTATGTGGTTTTGCAAAAACATCCTGTGGAAACCTGACACACATGCACACACAAATACATCTTCAATGTCCAGAAACACACACTTCCTAGGAACCATCTCAGGTTTTATCTCAGGCCCGTCTGTCGAGGGGAGCATATACTAGCGTTGGTCAGAGAGTCACACGTTGACTAGAAACCTTTCAGGGAAGTAGATGAGTCTAAGGCTTTATTCTGGGGAAGCCTGAGAAAAAGCCATTCTTGTCCTGTCTGCTAGTTGAGGAAGCACTGGCACGTTTTCTCTTTGCTCTTTGTTACCTCCCTGGGAGGGTGGAAACATCCTCACTTCACGGATAAAATGGGCACGGCACGGGCCCCAAGGTTCTGATGTCTCCCTCCAAATTGGGTGAAATGTGTTGATTTGATAGGTTTTTATCAGGTACCTTTTCTGGGTCAAGCGATGGGTTATGGGCTAGATCCAGAGATGAATGAGGTCAGGCCCCAGCCCTTGAGAGGCCCAGATCCCCAGCCTTGTGCTTGTTCAGAAAGCAAATACCTAGTGAGTGTGTTGGAAAGACTGGTAGGTTTCTGAACCCCAAGACTGGAGAAGTGAGAGTCCCACAACCTGTTCACAAGGTCAAAGAAATAACAGAAAACCACCTGAAACACCCAATCACAGGCTAAGGGGGCTGTCCACGCACACAGTTAGATGCACAAGGGCACATGTGCTTACGTGAGAATACACGTCTGTTCACAAGTGTCTGGAGCCCGAGTGCCTGAGCAGCTGCTCATGTTGGACAGGCGTCGGTCTTCCACGTGGAGATACACAAGTGGTGTGGGAACCTCTAAGTGTAGCAGACCAGGTGGCCTTGCAAACTAGGTTGGAACTTCCCTATAGCCCCCAACCGAGCATCAGCCTTGTGCCATTCCCTGGCCACAAGTGGGTATGGGAGGAACGGTGTTCCAGAGCAGCATGTCTGGAGGATGTGGTAAGTCTCCCAGATGCGGTGATGTTTCAGGTGTAAAATGTGTGTGGGTGCCATGAGACAGGGCCTTCACTGGGCTGACCACTACAGTTTATTGAACATCTCCTGTAGACCAGCCTTTGGCCAGGTATTTTCTGTACATTATCTTTTTTTTTTTTTTTAAGCATTTCAGTTATTTTTAATTAAAGAAAAACATCTCTTTCCAAGGGTGACAAAGTGAAGTGAAGATCAGAAGGAAGCAGGATGTGGGTTTCTTACAAGCTCTTGCTCCAAAACCGGGACATGAGAAAAGAGGGCTCTCCTGGGAGCTCAGAGGCGACTGGCCAGCAGGGGGATGACCTTGGTGGGGTGGCCGAAGCTGCAGCCCACCCTTGGTCACTGGATGGGTCTGAGTGGGCTCTAAGGTGATTTCCACCAGCCAGTCGGTTGGCATGATTAACGTCATTATTCTTGGGGGGCATTAAATTAAGTAATGACACTGGGAGCCCAGAGGGTCGCTGATTCAGTTGGATTCTGAATCACGATCAGGAAATAGTCTTTATCTGGTGCAACCATAATTTCATTTTTCTTGGAGCGAATTCGAAGGAAGGTGAAGTCATTCTGGGGGTCACTTGTGTGCACGGTGCTCCGGGCCTTCAAGTTGCACGTGAGCTTGGCGTACCGTGCGGTGGTGGGGTCGTCCATGGTGCTCTTGATGGGAATGCCTTCTGTGTTCGCCACCATGATTCCCTGCACTCCTTTTTGACTCTGAAGTCGCTCCAGTGTCTCCTCCACCTCCTTCCATCTCAGACCAAACGGGTAGCTCTATACATTGTCTTATTTGATGACCCTGGACCCCGATGTGATGGGTCCTATTATCCTATTTTTAGATGGGGAATCTGAGGCTTAAAGAGGTGACTCCACCTGCCCAAGGTCTCCCACAGAGATGGAGTTTGCCCTGTGAAGGCCCCTTATGACACCTTCCAGCAGCCACTTGTAGTGCGATGGAGATAGAGCTGGTAGCTCTCCCACATTTGCCTCCGTTGTGTGGGCCACCGGAGTATGTGTGTCCTATGGTGTGTATGGGATGTGCATCACAGACTGTGTGTGGTCCTCTCTCTATCTATGCATCGCAAGGCTGGGGACAAGGGACAGGAAGAGCCCATGTACTCGGGACAGGGCTGGGCCTGGCATCATACCTAATGGAGGCAAACAGAACTAGGAACGTAGCTGTCACGATGCATGGGAAGTGCTGTACACAGGGCTTGGGGCACTTCCCTACACATACTTTATTATGGAAGAGTTCTGCCTATGTCCCCGTGGGTGGCTTTCCAAGTCCCAGGCTCTGTCCAGCTTAGCTCTGGCCCCTGGCCCCTTAGCCCACTGCCCACACAGCCCACTCTGGGGGTAAGCCTTCTGGTGTGGATTTGAATCCTGGCTCTGCCTCCCACCAGCTGTGTGACCTTGGGAGAAGGCCTTAACCTCCCTGAGCCTCAATTTCCTCATTCTGTCTTCTTGGAGCATCCATCCGTCCTGTGTCTCCCTGGTGAATGCTTGTCCTTTAAGGCTGAGCCCAGACCACTGTGTCTTCTGAGGGATCCGGGCCCTCCCTTCTCCTCGTGCAGCACTTTCTATCCCCTGCTGGACATCCAAGCAGAGACCCAGAGGAGGAGGGTTAGGAAGGCGAGGAGTAAGCTGGGCATGGGCTCAGGGAAGGGTGGACCACACAAGGGGAAGAGCATGTGCAAAGACCAGGGGGCCTGGCAGCAGAAATGTCTGAGATGCCATTGTGAATGCCTGCGCTCTGCCTCCCCAGGTGCCCTCTCCACACCCTCACAGCAGCCTGGTGAGGAAGGTTCTATTATCACCCCTGCTTTGAAGCCACTTGGCCAAATACACAAAGCCAGAGCCAGAATACGGTCTGGGTGTGTCCGAGGCTTGAGCCCACATTTTTAACCCTTTGTGCCTGCCTGTCTTGTCAAAGTGTCTCCTGTCACACTGAGCTGGCTCACTGTCGGTGACCCTGAGGTGGGAACGGAGCAGAGAAGGGGATGGATGGCAGCACCCCCCATCTGAGCCATTGGCTCCTCTTCCCGGCAGCCTGGGACCCCAGGCACACCCTCGGGAAGGCTACTTTGTCACAGGCACTCCGGTCTCTGCTGGGCCTGGGGACCCAGCCCTGACTCCATCCCCTAGCCTGATGACTTAGCTGTCACGCACTCAGCCCTGTGCACGGAGCCTGCTTCCACCTGGGCCCTGTGGGGAGTCGCACCTCACAGCCAAGAGAGTCCCAGCCCCAGGGGTTCGGTGTGGCCCCATGGCTAGAAGAGCCCTCAGCTTAGCGCTCACAAATGTGGGCTCCTGAGAGAGGCTGCCTGGGTTGAATCCGGCTCTACCTCATACCGGCTGTGTGCCCTTGGGCAAGTCATGTACCCTCTCTGTGCCTCAGTTTCCTCAGCTGTCAAGCACCTGCCTCCCAGCCTTGTAGGGAGGATCAAGCAAGCTGGTACAGGTAAAGTGCCTTGCATACAGAAGAGGCCCAGGCTGGCTCCGCTGATCACCAATTAGTCCCGCTGGCCCTGTGATTTGCATTCGAATTCCAGCTTGTGTTGATGCCACGCCCCCTGTGCAAGTCCCACTTCCCTCACTGTTGATAAAACCCAGATCTGCTGATGCCAGGTTGATGCATCTCCTTCAAAGCAGCGTGATGTGCTGTGAGAGCTGGGGCACTGCAGTCAGGTCAAGTTCTGCCATTTATCAGCTGTATGTGAACTTGGGCATGTCACCTCCTGTCTGCAGCCTCAGCTTCCTCATCTGTAAAATGGGAACTTGGTTCCTACCTACCTCACAGGGGTGTCATAAAGATTAAGTGAGCTGATGCACGCATGGTGCCCGGCCTGGGGTGGGGTGGGTTCTCTTTTTATTATCATTGTTACTCAGTGCCCCAGATCAGAAGGGGGTGCCCTGTGGCCAGCCCCTCTGGCTGGAATGATTACTTCCGG